CTGCACACTGCGCTCTGCAACAGCCTTTCTGCGAAACAAGCAGTATGCCAGTTTCTCTAATACAGGGATATTGATGTTAAAAAGCATAACAACTAAACTGTAGCAGCAGTTGGAGCCTACATCAAAGTTAGTTTGGGAAAGTTTACTTGGTGTTCATTTTGTTGCTAAGAGTTTCTGTTCTTTACAACGGGATTGTTTCTAGGCCCGCAGAAAAGGGTCACCACACTTCCTTCCAATAGCAAATGTAGCTTGCATTCCGTGTTTGCCAGCCAAGAAGCTACTGTTAGGACAGCAGTACTGCAAAAATACTACTGTTCTTCTGATTATTTAAATTTTCTAGTTAACTGCTAAACAGCTGTGGTCTTTATCAATTTCCTGTTTGTAAGTGCTCCCAGAATATGAAAGAGGTCGTGGTGGGGAAAGAACAGAACAAAAGAAGATATTAGACTTTCTCTGTATCTGGCAAACATATCTGACAGTCATGTCAAATTTGGCCTGACAGTTACACACTTATTAATGTCTGGGTGTTTATACACATGCTTACATATTGCTAAAGTTAAGATACCCAAAAAGTAACTCAAAGGAAGACACTTACTAAGCAGTTTGGGTTATTCTTGATTTGATTCTGTAATGACATGTGAAGGAACCAACTTTGCAAAATATGGAACATGTATGAGTCTCTCCTAAAGATCAGAATATCAGTTCAAATACATATCTGTAAGCTGTTACATTTTAAAGTGCAAATTACACTTAAAACAAAATTGCTAAATTCTTTATTTGTATTTCTACCTTCTTCCTGTTTAAAAATACTTGTTCTTTCCCATTTTAGTCTGGACGTAGGAATCCGCTGCACCTGTGTTAAATGTGGTTGATGCTGAAAGAAATGCACTAATAAGAGTCAGCCCTGCAAGAAAGAACCAATGATTTATATGTCCTAAGACTCAGTCCCTAGGAGGGAGGAATTGCGTTGGTCGTTTGTGAATCTTAGCTGATCAGGGTTGAGCATTTTTAGGCCAGTGATTGAATCAGAACCAGATATTCCTAGATGAATTATGTGTTCTTCAGTCAGAATATTAAGAATGATTCTGTGTTTCTTAATAACATTAACACTGTTCATTGAAAACAATGGTTAAATTTCCGAAGGGCCTCCTGTTTTAAGTGCTACATTTTGAATAATTTTGAAACATGATTACATCTGTAAGTATACATTTGGAAATGCATAGAGTGCGTGTGTATATGCACTACTTATTCAGATTAATTTTTTGCTGTAGTTATTTGACATCTTTCTTCCTCTCTGTCCTAGATATGCTAGTTCTGCCATTGACCGTCAAGGAAGCACATCCATGAGGAAGGTAATGATTTATAAATGTACTTAAAAAAAACCAAAAAATCCCTAACAGTTCAATTCATTGTCATATTTTTAAAAGATACTTAAGGTATCACAAATCTTGACATTTGTCTATATTATGAAACATCTGAAAATAAAAAGCTAGGAATAATTTCCATACTCAGGGAAGTAGCTACTGCAACCACAGCAGGTCAGTGTGTGTGCAGCACTTTAAGTTTAGTAGGAACCTCAATGTGCGTTCTAAGGTATGTACTAGTTTTGGGAGGAGAATCATAGAAATGTCTAGGTTGGAAGGGACCTCTGGAGGGAAGGTTGCCCTGGAGGAAAAGAAAATTTTAAAACCTCTTAAAATATTTAAATAGAATGAATACTATGATAGGGAGATATGGGATTAAGATTTTCAAAGATTTTTGTGGTACCGATTTTGAAGGTCTTCAGTGGAAAATATCTAGACATCATTTTTTATTTTTTAGTATTTTGAAAAATATTTCATACAAAGGACAAACAACAGAACCTTCATTTACAGAATGCCTATTTCTTCATTCCGACTTAGCACTTTTTTCACTAAGTAGATGCTAAATAACTTTTGAGAGTTGCTAAATGTCATTCTACCTCCCAAATATTTACAAAGTGAGGCTAAAGACCAGTGACAATAGTGGAAGATGCGTGACTAAGTTTTCTGCAGTTTGTGAAAACCTGCAGTTGTGTTTATTGATACGCTGCCTCTATCTGCCAATCCCTCCCTTGCCTGCTGCCTCCACTGGAAAACACTTGGACCTGTGGTTGTTCCCAGGGATCCTGGTACTGCAGATAACCTGATACACATAATCTGAGGAAATCAGCACTATGTGCGCTATGATTTGTGTACTTTGCTAGTGAATGCACTGATGGCTGTGTTTGGAACTTGTTAATGGTTTTCCTTAAAAACGCCTAAGGCTCAAAATAGCAGAGAGACATGCAACCAGGTTTGCATTAATAGGCTTGGTTCCCTTCGTGCTGACAGGTAAGTGAATCTCTAGTCTCCAGGGCATTTTTTAAACATAGCATAACTTTTCATTTGGTGATTCTGTGACAGCATTCCTACTACTACACTGCGATTATTTTGAGGTCCCATTAATTTAGCTTCATGTAGCACAGATTCAATTCTAACACCTTTTTTTCTTTTTCCCCATGGTGTGCTTCTTGTTGGGTTTGGGTGGGAAGGCGTGCATTTTGTTTAACACTCTACTTCGTGCTGAGGTTTTGAGATGAGAACTTAAATGCTGGCAACCACAGCATGTTCTCATATAATCTGTCTGTTTCCCATAGCAACTCTGAGTCATTTTGAAGTTGCAAGTTCTGACTGTTTTCTTACAGTGTTTACCACAAAGTTAATCATATAGTAGTTCCTTTATCTTTCAGAATATGAAGCTTGACTTTTGTAAGTTAGCAGTGCTAATTAAGTACTGATTCCCAAGGTATTGCAAACTTTTCACTTTCTTTAGTTTTCGTGCCTTGAATACATTGTATGTGTGCATAAACAAAACATAGTAAGACTAATTAACTTTTGTTTTTAGGAGAGCTGATATTTTCAGCTCTCCTTGATTTGTTGTGCTTTTATTTCATTATTTTTAAAACTTTTACATTGAATGATGCATGCCAGTTTCTGGTGAGTATCCTAATGCATATATCCTCCAGTTTTCCGTTTTTCTTGCAGTTCTTTAAATTTAATCACATATGAAAACTGTAATTTAATTGTAGGGTTTTATTTCATCACTATATTTTTTTAGCCTAAATTGTGGACAAATTTGGTGATCTCTTTTTCAGGAACAGGTACCTGCTCTCTCCTAATGTGTTTCTATGCAGAAAGAGGAACATTGAACAGACTGTTTCAGTCACAGTCACCACAGAACTCCAGTTAGCACAGTATGACTGACCAGTACTGCTGCTGTGGCTTACAATACATCATTTAAAAAAAACCAATATTGCTGTGTATCTTTAATACTTTCTCACAGACTTACTTTTGTTTTTTCGTTTTCTGACTGTTTTTGCTATGTTTCCTGTGGCACAGGAGCAAGCATTAATCTTTGTCTTCTCTAGTGCTCAAAACAGAGATAAACTTGCAGCTAACAAGTAAATGGAGAATATGTACTCTCTTATGGGGTTACAATGCACATACACTTACAGAGCTTGTCACCTGTCAGAATTACAATATTTTTGTGAAGCATTCATGTAGTGTGGCTGGCTGGGAGGACAGCCTGGGATAAACAGAACCCAGAAAGCTGGTGTTCTCTGAGCCAGCTCTCTCGGGAGTCAAGAATTGCTGATTTCTGCAAGTCACTAGAGAACGTTCATGCTGTTCAACGCTGGCTAAATTGCAGAAGGGTTACAAATAGGTCTGTGCATGTGCAAAACAACTCCCCGCTCCTCTGCTTTTACTTAAAATAAAACTTTGCCTCTCCGATAGTTGGAGTCCTGTTTTCAGCTGTTGCTTTTCTATAGTGCTTAAGCTGTAATCCTTTGTCATCCTAAATATGAATTTAAATAGTTTTTTATTTTAATTATAATCCTCAGTTATTTTAATATTGCGACATTTAAACACTTATTTAATATGTTGTACCACAGTTGTTAATAAGGACTCTTGTAGCATGTGGTTGCTTTTTGACCGCATGGTGAGGAGCTGCTGTAAGGGAGGGTGAGCAGTCAGATGATCTGCAGGAGATGGTAATTATCTGTAGTCACACCACTAGTTAAGATAGCATGCAGATATCTCCGTCAGTGACAGACGCCCTTCCTCTAGGCCCTCTACTGAGCTGAGTGGTATCTGTCACAAAGGAAAAATCGAGAAGATTAAAAAGATGGCCCTTTCTATGCTACCCTTTGCCTGGATCTGCTGGTTTATCGCGCTGTGAATGTCTGCTGGTTTTTCAGCTGGTAATGGCAGCAGCAGTTACCGATCAGGCAGCTACTTCATTGTGTTGACCTGTAATTTTTCCCCTAGCATTTACATGTTTGACGTAAATCCTTACCATCTTTTGATTAGTATCCCTGTTTTTAAAAGGTTTAAATAAATGAAATGTTTTTAGGTTTTTCTTAAGAATCTGTAATGATTTTATAATGCAGCCACAAAAGAAAGAATTTTTTTTTTCTCCTCAGAGTTATTCTGTCAACCTACCAACCTAACAAACTTAATCGTTTCCTATGGTTGGAAACAATTAAAGAACGTGACTTCAACATGTCCTTGAACACATGACTTTACACATTAACTGTATAATGATTGTGGTGGATATATGTTTTTGAACAAATATTTGTATAACTATCTCATGTATGCTTACAACAAACTTCAAGTATCATTTGTTTTGTTAGGTCATTCACGTGAGTTTATATCCTCACTTTTCAAACTACTGCATAACTGTTCATGCAAAGAATCGTTAATGGTTTTATTGTAATTGCAATGAATAACTGAAAAAAATGGGGGTTTAATTCACAGATTCAGCACTGTGATGTTTTCTTTTTGGTGTTTATAACAGTAGTAGGACAAAAATGAGATCATATGATAACTGATCCTATGATAACTAACCCTAAGATAACCGTGGAGATGGTAGCAAATGCCAGATGTTTCATGTTACTATTACCTGCATTGGTTTTTCAAAAAATTTTTTTTTCCTTACAGTCATTCCATTACGCTTCCCTCAGGGTAAAAAGCAGAAAATGGTCAAAAGGTAACTTATCTGAGTTAACATTTTGAAACTAGAAAATGAGACATCTTCTCTGGTAATAAGTGATCTGGATCAAATGCCAAAGTTCAACTTAATTCAAATATTTTTAAATTTGATAGTAAACACCAAAGTAAAATACCAAATTAAAATACCAAGTAAATGTGTTATAAGGTATAATATTGCTAGACTCGGTGGTAAAATTTCCTCTGACTTAAGTAGAAGAAACGTAGTATCTGCATATTTTGCCATTTCCTTCTGCTCTGTTTCTTTATCTATTCATGGCCTATTTGAGACTGTTAAAACAATGAACATATGAAAAATAGTTACAGCATAATAAATTTCTATGAAAGTATGTGGCCAGTGAGCTCGCTTTATTCTGTTTGTTGGTTTAGTCGCCTTTCTATGAAAATTTTCCTTTTATTGCACTATACGTTTTTAATACTTCTAAACCTGACCAGGACACAGCACAGTATCTTATTCTAAAAAGAGCAAAATGTTAAGAACTTGGTTGTGGAATCTTGCAGAACAAAGGATGGTGCTTTGATGTTACCTAAATCTCTTCACTGTTGCACAGCTGTTGGACAAATATAATTCTTGTAGCAATATAAACTTGATTTTTCACAGAAAAATGTCCAATATTTTAAGGAAATTTCCTACAGAGTCTTTTTCAGGAAAAATGATACCATAATTAAGGAAAAAAACTCTTCTTATTGATATTTACAAGGCACACTAAAATTTTAAGCCTTTCAATTAGGATGTATTGAAATAACAGCGACAAAAAAAAACACCTTTTCCTGGTGCTGTGCCTTTAAATGGGATGCAGTAAAATTAAAATATTGTTGTTCAGTTAAATTCAAGACAGAAGAAATGTAAGCATGTGCATTTTTATGGAAGTGGATGATCTTTCTTTTTTATTGACTATAAAAATTAAGTTTCAAAATTCCCAGAATTTGACAGGCCTTCTATTGCTAAAAGTAGTAACAGAAGCTATACACAAGTAGTGTTTACATCTGTATACAGGTTATGTCATACTCTGAGTTTCAGACTGAGGGCTAAATGAATACAATTTTACTTTGGAATGATGATGCCCACCTTAATCAGATAAAAACGCAGCCCTAAGAGGAATGAACCCTCTAGAGATTAAATAAACCATTACATAAAACAGGCTCTTTTTATTTTGTATTCACGCTGAAACCAAAATTGCAGAGCATTGTTGAATTTGGAAATTGTTCATTCAATCTTCTCTCCTTGAAACTGGGGAGGATTTGGCTTGAAGGATTTTGAATTGTATCATCATTAAAAATTAGTAGTGTGTTTATCTTGAGAAGAATAGTTCTTCCACTCTTTCGTTCAGTGAGGTGTCTCACACTATTGTCGCCTTCTCAGGGAGCTCTCTAACGGGTGGGAGCAGAAGACGGATTTCCTGCAAAGACTTGGGGCACGGAGACTGTGAAGGCTGGCTATGGAAGAAAAAGGATGCCAAAGGCTATTTCACGCAGAAATGGAAAAAGTACTGGTTTATTTTGAAGGATTCATCCTTGTACTGGTACACAAACCAGAATGTAAGTATACTCTACGTTTGGAGGAAACCAAAATTAAACCTTAAGCTTTATAATTCTTTTGAATAAAGTCCATTTTTACTACATGGTAGGATATGTTAGTGAACTGCCACTTTAATTGCCAGGTCTGGGTCACTCTAGCTGGAAATATTTCAACTGAAATTATTTTTTAAAGTCTCCAAAGTCCACGTCCAAGCTTAATAAAATAGCAGATGTTCATGGCACTCTTAAAGAAATGAGTATGTCAGTAGTTAATACTTTTCCACAGATACTATTTATTTGGACTAACACCATGTTCACTCTTTAGTTTCAGTTGTGTGGGGAGATGTATACAGTGTAACCATTCGTGTTAGTTAAGCATTATGTGAAGCAGATGTGAAAATCTGAATTTGTAGATCTCTTTATCTGAAAGTTATTCTTACATAGATGTTCCTCGCTTTTTGCTGAATTAGTCTGGAGTTTGCAGTTTCTCATGTGTAAAACGCTGTTCTTGGCAAAATGTTACTGAAAACCACTGGGCTTACACTTGTGCAATCTGCATATATGTAGGAAAAAATAATGGAGGGTAGAAGCCAAAAAGCGTTAGACTGCTGTTCTTCCATTTGCATGCATTGAGCCTCAGTGCCTGATCTAAACTGTCTGCATACAGCCTGCTTTGATTACTGATATTTTAGTACATACTTTCCATTTTCTTCAAGAGGACAATTTTACTAGCATAATTATCCTCAGTTTTAGTATTTTCTCATCAGCCCAAACCAGTATTGTTTCAGGCTGTGGATGGTAAAAGCCTTCAGGTTTTGTGTTGTACGTTTTGTTTGTTTGACATTGTCACAAGCAAGGTGGGAGTCATTATGTTTCCCACTGATTTTCAGTCTGTTGTTTACAGCCAAGCCATAATTCATAGTACGCTTGCTAATACTTTTCAAAAATCTGACTGGTGTTAATACGTCTCCTTGCTTTTCCTGGTAAATTACTTCAAAATAAGCAAAAAGTGACAGGAGATACTTTCTAGTTATTACTTTTCCATTTAATCACTGGTGAGCTCGCTGTAGGAACTTCCTCAATTATTATTAGCAGGGCAGATGGTCTGCACAATCGTGACTTTAAAAGGAGGCATCCACAAAACAGTTTTAAAATGTAGACTATATGATGAAGAAACAGAGAATTCTTCTCTGTAGTTGATGTCTGGAATGCTGTTTTGGGTGCTGTATCTGGTGCTGAAAGGTTTTCTGTCATCTTCAGCAAAGGGGAATTAGGAGGACTGCAGCTCCTTTAAGAAACTGGCAGTTTAGTTACTTCATAAAAGTTATGGACATTGTATGATGCAGTAAATACATTTTTTTAAGTAAAAACATTATGGGGAAAATCTGTTCGGTATTTCAATTGACTGGACGGTTGTTCTTAGTGTAAGACCCAAACAGCTCGTGCTCACTCCTCTCTTCTTTAACTCTATGTTCTTCTTCACCATCACTTTCTCTTCTCTTCTCTTTTGATAGGATGAAAAAGCAGAAGGATTCATTAGTTTACCTGAGTTCCGGATAGATAGAGCCATCGAATGCAGAAGGAAACAGTAAGTAATGTGTCAATTATGTTTATAAATTGAAGGATTGCTGTCGGAAGTATACTATATATAGCACTGAAAATTTGCAAAGCCCAGAGAAGCAAGTTCCACAGAAATCTGCAAATAATGCATAATAGATCCAGTTAAGCTTTAGTGTTTCTCTTTATGATGAAAGATACAACTTAATGTAAATTCCATAAACTGTCTTACAAAGAATTGGATAACTCCTTGGTCAGCTTTCCAGATAGCCCAGTTACAACTTCAGTTAAATAACTAAAGCAAAAACCAATTAATATGTTAGCCAAGAGATAAAACTTTCTTAGGTTCAGTATGGTCATCTTGATAAGAATCAAGTGTGCAAGAAGCAATTACCACAGGAAATACCATTAAAAATATCATAGCAAGGGATGGTGAATATAATCTCCATTTTCTCCTTTATGGAGGAAGCTTACGTACCCAATATTGTGTTATTCTCAACTGCTAAAATATTTAGGTTCCATATGCAAAATGAACATTGCGTTATTGCTTATGTGCATATAGCTTCTACGGCATTATGCTCCCAGTAAAAAGCATATGCTAGGCTTTGCCACACTTAAGGCATATTTAATAACAGACACTCATTGGGAATTGTTTGCCAGCAGCGTTGGCATTGGAATTCATAGCTGACAAACAGCAAGTTTAAGAGAACAAGTCTAATGCTTTGAGACTAGCGCTTTGCCGGTATCTCCTGAATTATTTGCATGTGTTTTCTGTATGCTGCACCTGGATTTTTAAAACATCCCACCATGAGGAGCTACGTAGAATAGCCTTAAAGATACGCTCTTGCTAAAGCTTTCCTAGTTATAATTAAGTATCCTGAATTTTTGTTGTGCTTTCCCAATGACTAAATGCAGTTTTGGTCTGAGGAATACAAGTCCTACACCTATGAACACATGTACAATAAAAATACTGAAGATATGAATTACAATAGAGACTGCTCATCAGAAAATGAAACCTCTTCAATTGCTTGTTCTTGTCTGGAGGTATTATTACTGCCTGTCTGAGAATTAGGAGGCAGTGCATTTATACTTCTGTAACTCCTTTCAGCTGAGGGTATCACTACAGAAATTAAACATGAACTGAGCACTATAAATTCCTCTGTGGAATGAGTAGATATTAATAATGATATTGAACAAAAATACAGGAAAAATAATACCCCTTTGTTAGAATATAAAACACTTAACAAATTTCAGTGAATTAACCAAGATCAAACAGAAGGTCATTGTGCACAGCTAGAAATAGCTTCCAGAGCTTTGCTCTAAGCGTTAGAACACATTTCCTCAGAACACTTCTTAGAGAACCATTTCTGTAGGGTATATACACAGGGAAAAGTCCGATTAACTAAAACTTTGCACGCTGCTGAAAACTGAGTACCTTCAGGCTTTGAATCCTTTCAAAAAGAGGTAGGTCCAGAGGTAAAAGTATAATGAAGACATTAAAAGTATTCCCTTTGTTCGCTGAGCTGAATTTCCCTTTGATTTCTTCCTTCATGCACTATCATTTATATATTTCCCCCATCCTAAAAACTACACCTTACATTTGCCACTGGTTTACCTGCTCCATTAAAAACTGCAGAGAAAGCAAATCCAGTGTGACGCTTACTTACATTTCAGTATATCTGGCGTATGTGACTAGAGGGCCCTGCTTGTGCTACAGCCAGCTTTAACCCACGGCTTCTATAAGTGCGCTGCTAAAGCACTTACCTGTCCTCTTCTGCGTTGTCTTACCGAGGACGGGACTGAGCACGATTGCCATTGCCTGATTCCGCTGAAGAGCTAACAGTCCTGGTGAGCCTAGGGACAACTTCTGTGGCTGGATTCTTCTGCATTCCTTTTGCAAATAAAATTAAGGAGAGGGTGACCCATTTTGACCCAGCATATTCTGGAACAATTCTGTATCACGCTCCATTATTCTCTCTGCTAGACTAGAGGGAAATATTTCAGTTTGGATTTTCTTGCCTCCTTTTCAGAAAGCTAGTGAAAGACAAATTTCACAGGATCAGTTCTCGCTTCTTTCCACTTTGTCTTTTTCATTTAATAGGGGGGTTTTAGTGAGTGCTGGAACGTAACCTAGAATTCATTGCAAGCTGGAAATCTGAAAATATAAATCTGGTTGTGTTCTTACTCACTTCTATATGATTGAGTCCATTTTAACATTAATGCAAAAGCTAGTAAAGCAGTTACCTTTACAGTTAATGAGGACAGGGGCAAGAAACATAGTTCTTTCCTCTTTTTTTCTTTTTGGTAGGTTCATCTGTTTTCAAATCAAAATTGCCTGAAAAGTACACTTAGTATTTTAATGTTTAAAGAAGTCCAGCTAAAATCACAGTGTTAGTTTTCTTTCAGCTCTCTCAAAAGCAGAACTAAGAACATTTTGGGACTCAGCTTGGATTTCCCCTCAAATTTCTGTTATTTTCAGAGCCATCAATGTGAAATGTTCAAACGTTATTGAACAAAAGAACTTGAAGTCTTACTAGAATAATTAATAGATTTGTCTTTTCCACTGTTCTTTCAGATGGAGAATGCTCTTTTATAGAATGACTGTTACTGATGTCCATAGCATACATGGAACAAAATAGCCTTAAGAAAGCTTTTGCAAGAATATATAATAATTGAATGCATTACTCTGTATGGTTTGATGATTTGCCTCACTAATGCATTTAATGAAGGTACCCTGATTATTATACGAATCATGGCATTATCTCAGACTGGTTTAGCTCTCCAGGCTATATTTGGATGTAGAATGACCTTGTCCCTGTGAGAGGAGATTTCTTGCGTTGACACTGAAAAACTTTCCGCTGCTTTAAGGCAACACCTGCATGATCATACTGTATTAGAAATCTTATTTAAGTTTGTGTGATGTGGCATGACATGAATATCATGTTATTTTCAAAGATACCGATAATTACAATGCCCCATGATAAAGGTGATCCACAAGACTAAAGATTAATGGAACTACGTACACAATTAATCATTGTTAACTAGTGCTTTGCCTGAACTTTCAAAAATCTCCACCTAGTGAAATATTTCATTGCATAATTAATGCAAATCTAGGTCTTAAATTTATGAGAGCATATGCCATACTGTTGGCCCTTCATATTGAAACTGTGCAGCCAGAACTCTCTATAGATGTCATTGATATAGTATAGGTAGACGTGAAGTTATACCTTAAAGGTTGCTACCATTTCAGTAATTTTTATTACTTCTTCCGAAATGAACTTGACAGTCTTGGTAGAGAGCAAACCAAAGGTGAGCCACCAGCAGGCCCCCACAGGAAAGAAGGCTAACAGCTTCCTGGGCTGTGGTCACTGGAGTGCAGCCAACAGACGACGGAAGTGGTTATTCCCTCTTACTTGGTACTCAATACACCACATCTAGATTATTGCATCCAGTTTTGGGCCTCCAAAACAATCCAAAGGTAAAAAATATAGGTATCGTTCTTCTGCATTATTCATATGTGTCTATTGATCTAGAATTATTTCCCTGGAGACTTTTCGGCAGTTCTTAATGCTAGTGTATCTAAATGCTTCTCTAATAATAATCTTTGTGACGCTTCTGGGAGATGAAGGTGGTTTTATTGTCACATTTTGCAGCCCAGAAACAGAACTGCAAAACATTTAAATCACAAGTTTCCACAGAATTGAGATCTTCATTTCATAACAGTAAAGACCTGTTTTCTTCAGAGTATGTAAATATATAACAGTACAATACATTATTGCAGCTGTAAGTGCTCTCCATTTCAGTAAATGATCAGAATATCAGACAAAAAGATATTGAGGAACATTCCTGTAGTAACCAATTATTAAGTCTGTTTGCTGTGACTTAGCATGTGAGAACTCCTTTGCGTAAGCAGGAAGACCTGCAGCATTTAACGGATTTATCCTTGAAAAAATTCTTGCTCTCTGCATTTTATGACACATTCACAAATTCCATAACAACTGCGGCAGGATTCCTACAGAAAGTAGCCTTATCTGTGGCGTAATCCTGATTCACCTCTCTAGCAAGTCCGCTCTGTACCTGAATTGAGGTAGGGTGCCTGTGAGAATATAATACTCAAATACATAATCATGGATTGTATCACATTACGAGAGCATAGTGGAGCCAAATTGAAGTTGTTTATCACACTAACTCTGACTTATTCTAACTTTGAAAAGGTTGACTTTGAAACCCCAATATTGTCATTTTAATGCTTTTATGTATGTAAATTTCCTGTCTAGGAAAATAATCCTATTTACAAGCAGAAACTCCATCATGTGATATTCTAACAGGATTAATCAAGAGGATTAGAACCTTTAGATCCACCACATAATCCTCTCCAATTCGAGCCAATACTAAAATCTCAGAAGTGGAAGACGGTTGGGCAAATGGAACACTAGAAAGTGGAGACGTTGCACAGAGTTCAGACCAACAGGAAACAGAGTGCTGACATTGCAGCAAAAAACACATCCGTGAAAACAGCATATCATGCTTAAATAGTAGAACAATGCAAGAGTATTTGTTTAGTAGTGACTTTCTATTTCGAGTATTAAAAATTAAGTTCTGTAAGGAACTTCTGTAAGAAGGTGTAGTATTTGTTAATTACTGTGTAATTAACAACGCGTAATGTGCCACTCTAATATATGTGTGAGTGCATAAGGACATATGCAAAACCATTTCACATTTCTTATTCGCAGAGAGGTATCATCTGTTTTGCTAGAGCAGTTGGAGTTGCTGCTAGTCAGCCGGCATAGGGGGAGTAAAAAGTTCTGCATTAAGAAGTAGGAGACTAAGAATAGTTGACACTAAAATCGTATTATACTAATTGGCTAAAAGAAATCATACATTTGATCAGAGTATACTTAAAGCTATATTTATATAATGATCAAAATCTCTTGCATTCAAATCTTAAAATTCAGTACGTATAATTAACAGGCCTGTGCCATCTAGTGGGCATCAGAAAAGCTTCCTCCCTATCCGGGATTTCTCATGTACTTACTACTTTCATTTGCAAAATACACAAGTAGCTGGGGAGATGGGGATCTGCAGTTGAAATTATCAATGTCCAGATGCCAAAACAATACTTAAATACCTCTCAAGTCTCTTTTGTGGAATGAAGATGTTTTATGACCCTCTGTGCAAAGGTAAACTTACCCTTAATATACTCCTAATCTCACGAAAAGGGAAACTGCACATAAATACAACTCTGCTGTTATCCATTCTTCTGTAGAACTTTTGTTAGGAAAGCCTGTTACTGTGCGCATTTGTGTTAATAATATATATAAGAAAATCAGTGTGCCCAAGTGAAGCTTCTTCAGCTTTTATTTTTGTCTCTGAAAACTGCAGTAAATCACAGTAATTAATAAAACAGTCATTTGCATTTAAGCTATTAATAGCAGGAACCCTGCATCACAGGTTTTTCGTAATGCCATGTGTATGATTTCTAACTAATTCTTACATCTGGTAATTACCATATAAATGTCAGTATTTTAACGTAAATGTTATGAATGATAGTGTGGGGTTTTTAACCATTTGCCAACTAATCAAAGTAATAGTCTTTAATGCTCTGAGTTTGTGGTTTCCCTGACAGCAATACTCCTTTTAATTATATTCACACAAAAAAAATTGTTAAAAGTATGATTATTGTTCTTAGCAGTTTTCAAGTAACTGCTCAACTGAGGGGGAGCTTAGGGATTATACCATATAAAAGCAGTAATAAAAAGCATTTTTATGTGAACTGTAATCATCCATGCTGTAAGATTGTGAGCTTGATTATTATCTCATGCATGTAGTCTGCGCAGATTACAACGCAATGTAGTGACGTCTGTGTATAGCCAGTCTAAAGCAAGAACCAGACCTTGCCTCACAAAATCAGTAATATCAAATTGAATCACACTGGCCAAGTGGCTGGTGAAGGAATTGACAGTTGAGGAAGGAGAAAGAATATTAGCAATGCACAGAGCAATGTCATTCTTACAGCTGCCTTTTGTCACACAACTGTTCAGTACCTCAGGTCAGAGAGGCCAAGAATATAGTACACTATACTACTGATATTGTACTAGTTACACAAGTAAAACAGTACAGACTTTTAAAATTATATTAAACCTGTTGTGATATGGTTTTGGAACTATACCAGTGATGTCTAATTTCTCTTGCACTTTTCAAAGAACTTCACTCTATAAATTAACCTTTACATAAATTTAAAATCACCCCAGGGAAAACAAAAAAACAAACAAACAAACAAGCAACCCACAACTATGAGTTCTTGAATCAAAAGCTACCTGTGAGAACAGACTGTGCAATAAAAAAAATTAGTGAGCTACATCAAACTGACCATGAACTATAATGTAACAATAAATATAAGGTTTACGTCTAAATATTGGCAACTCTGTTATTTGCTAGGTGGCAGATGAAGAAACGTCAGCTATTAATGACACACAGTGATGGCAGAAAAAATACAGAAAAGATTAGCAGATTAAGATGAAAAGTACCTGGGATATGTTTGGGTTTAGGGTAACTTGACAAAGCAATTGCTGGAATTAGAACTGACTACTTGAAGAGTTAAGACTATTTAAGGAACTTCTTTATTATGATCTACTTCCAAACAAAGCAAACCTGCCACTTTTATTCCCTAGATCTTTCCATATGCTTCCCTTAAGCTCAAATGGAATGAAAATTATAATTAAGGATTAAAAAAAAATGTATTAAATTTAGGAAACATTAATTTATTTAAGCTTATTCTAGAGATCTTACAGTCTTGTGACTGAGTAAAGAGAATTTGAGGGTGCTGTATTTTTAGTGTCATCTCCAGTTGAATGCAATTAGCAGATGGTTATTCCTCTTTATATTCCTTCTCTTCTCATTTATTAACATAAAATAAAATTCTGGATATATTCATGTATATCCTCAGAATCAGAATGACAATAAAGATACGAGACAGTTATAACACATAAGTTGGCAGCCCTCTATATTTCTTTGAGCAGGACACAAACCACAGTCATCCAAATATGTGAGAAGAGGTGGAGGGATCAAACTCTTATTCCTTTAGAGATCTTTGGAATATGACTAATACTTACTTAAATATACTCAATAAGATTTTCAAATTCACCCAAGAAGTTTTAAGATGTATAACATCACTGGTTATTGAAAAGATTTACATTTCTAAGACATTCAAGGGCTTTTGAAATGTTTACAAAGTACCAGTTAGGTTCACAAATGTAGACGTAATCTGATCAGTAGGAATCCATCTCTAAGTTTATCCAGCAAGATTCAGAGTGAAGATGCAAAATGCCTATGAAACTGTAACGTGCCGAAGAATCATAGAGCCTGTCAGTCTTGCATATTTGTAGACAAACTGTTTGAAAGAAAAGGTATTTTTTTATTCTTTGTGCTTATTTTATAGTGCCTTCAAAGCATGCCACCCCAAAATAAAGAGCTTCTACTTTGCAACAGACTGCCTTGAAGAAATGAATAGGTAAGTTATGTTTCCTCTTTATCATGGTATATTCTTTATCATGGTACTCCAATAATTGAAAATAATATTTCATCTCACATAGAAATATACTCTTGGAGCATGATGTAATGCTGATTGATAGTGTCCTCAGTCCTCCATTAATTTTAGTACATACATTACATTGTGTGGCTTGCTTTGCTGAAATTTTCTGTCGTGCCACATGTCGCAGTTCTGCAAAGGTGTGTTAGGAAAGTTAGTTTTGTTGGTCTCATGTATGTTCATTAGAATTTTTGTTTGTTAATGGGCATAAAGTTTATCTCACTTCTAATTTTTTGTTGATCAAGGCTAGAACTATTAATGTGGGATAAAAGTTTCTGGTATATAAAAACAATGCATACGTACCAAAGCTCATACTTAAGAGAATACCCACATGATGGGATAAGATGTTTTAAGGTTAGCTCTACTGATAATCCCCAGTAATGTGACATCATCGAAAACCAGAGAAAAGCAATCTGAAGTAATTTTCTAACAGGAATGGTATTGAACTAATGAGATGCATTTATTTTTCATGCCAGAATTTGAAAGAAAAATAAAAATAAAAACCAACTCTCTCTCCCCCTAAGGAAAAAAAACAACAACAACAAAAACCAGTAGTAATTTATTTTATTCATTGTATCACTGTCCCAACAAGGAACAGAGGCTAGCAAAGTTCAATTGTTGGCATTGCCCTGTGTTTTTAAGTGTCCTTGGATGTGCTGGGAGGGCATTCAAAACTTGACTGGACAAGGCCCTGAACAACCTGATCCAACATTAAAGCTGGCCCTGCCGTGGGTGGGGTGCGGGAACAGATGACCTCCTGACGTGTCTTCTAGCCTAAATTACTCCGTGCTTCTATTTTGTGACTCAGTGATGAAGGCAGAGGTTAGATAAAGGTGGGGAGGTACCTTTGATCCTCAAAGGCAGAGTCAAATGTTCTACCTCCTCCTGTTACTTGGTAATTTGTTTATTCCCAGCTGAGGTAAAAAGCAAGGACACATGGGACAACGTTGCCATACTTTGAACTCTTAAATCTTTCCTGGCGTAGACTGCTGAAACTTTGAGATTTAGTTAGTTCTTCCTGTTCGCAGACTTAGAAAGATGCAACTGTCTCAGGATACAGCTGGACTTTTTTCTTTGGAATACTAATGTCTAAAAATTGTTTTTAAACTGAACATTTATATTCTGTGGTTTACACGGCCCTTCAAGAAATACTGTATTGATGTATAAGACTGGCTGTATTGCAACAGTTCAGGCTAGTTCATCATCCACTGATGAGGATGAGGTTCAGTTCTCGGGAGTACCTCGCTGTGGCTAGCTGTTATGTTTGGGATGTAAATCTGCTGAAAAATATTTTTCCAATGTTAATAATGTTCCATTGTTCAGTTATATAACGTGACTGAGATTTGTTTGCTCCAAAACTGAAGTGAGGATCTTCTGCTATTTTTAACTATGCATGGTTTCTCCCTTGGTTTTAGCTGCTCTGATAGCTATGATTTGTTGAAGTGCCATTGATCATATCTTTCTATTATACCATAAAAAATTCTGACTCAAGGAAACCAGGAAGTCTTGACATACATTCAATAAACTGCTCTCACAATATTCATTGATTTTTCTACTCTGGGGAGCCAACGAAGCTGTCTTTATGACAGTTTACAGCCTTCGTGGAGAGTAACAGTTGGAAAGGTGCCAGGATGTATTTTCATATCGTACTGACATGTTAGTTTGGAATTTATGAGAGCCTTTTTCCTGGAGTTTTGGCTCTGCTTCCCATGAGAAAAGACAAAGGGTGAACTTTCTCTTGAAGTATTTTTCTGCAGTATTTTTCCTGCAGAAATGCTGTTCCTGTAGAGTAATTGTAATTCACCCCCCCAGCCCAAATGATGGATTACTATGCTACCTCTGTAAAGTCCCTGGGCATTCCCTGCAGCCTTTAACATGCTTCCTGGAATTACTTCTCCCAGATATCCTGTGTGAAATTTGAAATGAGTAAGCAAGATTCATAGATGAAAAATGCACTTAAAATACTAATTTCACAAATCTCTCTCTTCCCAGCAAATTACTAACCATGTAATCTGAGGAAATAAGGCAAATACTCGGCATGGTATCTCTCACTCCTGCTGTCACCAGAAAATTTAAATGGATTTTCTACGCTGACAGAAGGGTAAATCTTTCAGGCTGAAAAGTAAAGGAGTTCTAATATGGAGAAGAACATAGTATTTCTTTATTTGCTATGTGGGGAAAGTATACCCTTTCTTCCACTGCATTTACCACCAGCTTTTATTTTAACAGCTGTTTTTACAGTTTCTTACTTCAGATTCACCGTTTAATAATTTTTCTCCACTCCAGAATATTTTAATCTGCCTTTAATACTGCATTGCTGTTGAAAGAATTGTATACCAACGGGTAGTAATTGATTTGTATGTAGCAGATAGAGTTACTCAGTTGCAGCTGGATTTTGCCTGCTGCGCTGCATGGTGCACAGACTTTGGTTTGCAAAATTAATGCTCATGCTGTTTTGTCAGGTCTTACATGAGCATAGTTGTGTTCTTAGAAATGAATTAATAATGAAATTGATGAGCTCATCTTTTGCTTGCCACGGTCACGGGGTACTCCAAGCTTGTTAAAGGCCTTATTTCCCAGAAGTGCTTCATCTATTGCCATACCATGCATAACCTGTTTATGGCTTTAATACTCTCAAGGAAATTAGCACTGAATTTAATATGCAGTTGTTTTACAATATCTACTTTATTGATGGAAGTATGCAGTGCAGTGCATTTACAATCTCCTCATGGACTCCAAATATTAAATTAAAAAAAGTTCCTGTTTTAGGCTGAATAATTTGATCACATTTGATTTGAATAACTGGGTTAACTTTGCAATTTTAATAACTCCCATAAATCTTTTGCATTTGTTCAAAAATATAAAAAATACCTGCTACCCACTGAAACAGAACGATGATTGATTTTGTAGGGGTCACTCCCAATATTTTCCAAGTAAAGACCTGAAATAGTCTAACACAATATTTTCCTTAAAAAGAAACTGTGTGAAAATTGAAGTATTCTGAATTAAATCTCTATTGATTATAAGCAAATTTCAGGGTGCATATCCTTTGTATTTTTATGTATGGGATATAACCAAGTGAGTTACCCAAGGCTTTCCCTAAATCATCCTGTTTATTACTAAAGTTCATTCAGCTGTCTTCCGTAAATTTGGGGCATGTTAGTATCCTTGACAGATCTTGGCCAAATCAGATGATGGGCCAGTATTAATGCATCTTTTTACAGTTTTAATTTACTTTCAGTCTTCACTTACAAATAAGCTAACACCTAAGAAAAGATCTTGGCAACTAAAAATTTCAGACCTACGCCCCTATTAGACATTGCCTCTCTTAAACAAGAGTTCTGGAGAAGTGAGCAGGAGAGCAACCATGTCAGATCTGCCTGTCCTAATTTAACAGCTCTTTAACAAACAGAGCCAAGTAAGTTATTAAAGAGCTCTTACTGCTCAATCCCTTACCCGATGAAAAGCAAGGAGATAATTCTGCAGGCCGTGAAAGGTACTTTTCAATTAGAAATCCCTGAAAGGGAGAATCCCAATGGTGGTGTAAGTAAACATAAACAGCAGGTTTTCCCCTTCTTCCTTTATGGTCCTATAAACTTGTTTCAAATCCAGGAAAAGTAGTCCATGCCCAAGGCCACTTCTGTCCTCCAATTTATTGTTCTCACATAAAAGCTCATAAGTTGCAGCACAAGTAAAACAGTTTTCTGATCAGAATTGGCTGCAGGCCCCAGAGGCTGGATGAAACCATGATGTACATGGGAGTGAACAGTGCAATAGCAGTGCTCCGTCTGGGGAAAATACTGCGCCAGGAAGTACTAGTACAGAGCTGCAAGTCTTCAAAATCCCCTTTTTTTTGGCTAGCCACCTAACTCCTCCTTTCTATGACTTATAGACTACTCGCCATAGACTTGTGAACTACCATTTCCCCCTTAATACAGTTTGAGAACCACTGGCTCATAGCATTACACTAAAGGAGTTCAAAGGAATTTATAATACACAATTGCAATTTTCCAATACGCAATCCAAATTAGCATTCAGGTGTAAATTTATCCCTAACGCTCAAGGGTTAGAATTTGCATTGACTTTCTGTACTGGTTTAAATTACAAAATTAACTTAATCAAATTCTGCTGTAAATAATGCCATTGTGAATTGGTATAGTTCTCCTGGGAGTCAGAGAGTTCAACTGCATTTAATATAGCAGATTCTGTGATTGCAGTGCTGTACCTCTCCGTGATGAATGAACGCGCATTACAGTCATATATTATGATGTTATGCTGGAGATACTAGATTAACACTGCAAAATCTGAAGTTTTTAGTAATATAAATAAGTAATATACATAATTAAATAAGCTGGGTATTTAACAGTATTGTTAGGCCTATTTGATATGATTTCTTTAAGAGTATGTGGAATTAGAATTACCTAATTTCACAATAAATCATCCCATCTCTTAAAAAAAATCCCCTCTAAAACCCAGGCCCCCCCCATACCTTTTCAGGCCATGCTAAACTCAGTTCTTTTGCTCATAAAGAACGTTTCATTTCTCCAAAGCCTTCTTTTGGGCCAATCATTGGCTGAAAGCTAGGGTAAAAGCTTGAATAACTGAGTAAAATTACAGCGTGCATTAAATGTTAAGAAATCCTGGCTTGGATTCACTTTTACAGCTTTTCATCCCTTACCCATACTTTCATAAGAATGGTAGAAAGACACTCTGGAGAACACGACGTGGTTGCAGGTGCTGAAGCACAGACAATGTCCCAGACAGCGTAGGAAGCGGTAGGTGCATGCAGCAGCCAGTACTCGCCTTTAAGTGGATGCCCAGAAAGTTTGGTGAATTATCCAGAGTAATATGGTAAATCCGCTAGGACAAGGTTACAGTAGGGTGGAATCTGGTATCCGCATTTGACTAATGAAGAAAATATC